ATGGCTGCAGGCACACGCTGTCAAACACGGCTCAAAGTCAGAGCCCATGGGAAAGCCATCTCATCAAAATAATAGTTTATTTTTATATCCGAAATTCACAGAGATATGCGGAAGAATCCATCCCACAATAGGCTGCAAGTTCAGACCAAGGGCGCCTCCGACAATCATCTCATCATATTCAGCATAATACACATTTGCGAACAGACAAAAAGTTCCCGAAGAATGCATTGTGCGACAGGTTGTAAGTTTATTGAGAGGCCGTTCTTGCATGGTTGATAACTATCTCATAATAACGAGTCTCATGATATTGCAAGAAGGCAGAAGGCTCAGGAAAGATATTCCCCAGTATATGATAGTTCATCATAGCCAAGTAGGTGATTATGATCGCTGTTGCAGTAAAATAGAAGTTCCCAATGTGTCAAATCAATACAGGTGAAGCTAGAATTGTGATTTGCATGCTCATGTGTCATCTCAACTCAGGTGCAGCGAGAATTGATTTGCATACTTGCGTGTCATATCTTGACACAGGTGAGGCTGAAATTGTGGTTTGCACGCATAAGCTTTTATGTATAACTTCGAGGATCTTGACGATAAACACGCAAAAATTTTCTGTATGCAGGCAACACTCGAGACATTCATCATGATATAAGACCTGACTGCACGTGAATTTGACATCGTCATGGGAAGAAAGCTCTAAAGGCACCTTTAGCATCAGGTACTCTGCTAACAAATGTATGATTCATCAATTTGCTAGAGAACAAGTTCACCACGATTATATGCCAATCTTACATAAATGTCTGAGAAAGCTGCCTCGGTGTACTCAGCCGCCGTCATTATTGCTCGCATTCGAACTTTATTGTCGAAAACATTGTGAACTTTGGCACGGACTTGATCGATATTCGCAAGCGATTGTTCCATATTTTCCTTTAGTACGGGAAGATTTCTACACAGCCTCAACAGCCTGATTGAAAGACAACAGACATAAATACCCTATGCTTTTGGTCGTTTGTTCAAGATGCTATAGCTTCTCGCCAAGATCTTGCGTATATATTTCAGCGAGACCCTTGCTTACATTGCCACTTTTATCCTCTTTGTGGAATTCTTTTTACGGAAAATTCGGAAAAATTATCTTTCCGTTTTAGGAAATATCCAAGCGCAGTCTGAGGTCGTGGTTCCCGTTTGGGTGGTGACGGAAATTGAATACGAAGCTTTGAAACGAAATTCCGACTCTCGGACATGACTGAGTAATAATCGGCAAAAGCATTTATCTCTCTGTGGCTTGAGCCTCGTGCATTGTATGATCGAAGTGGCAATTCAATACGATTAGTTTTTTTCTAGAAGGATTGAATTTTATTCTGGGGAAAGATTGAGGCTTATGTTAGGTCAATTTCAAACCTCAAAAATTGTTTTTGTGATGAAAGCTACGTTCGAATTTAATTCGATGGCATGGACTGCTTGGAAGTAGGCACCACTGTGAATTCATAACTTATTAATCTCTCGGTCGTAAAGATTATCTCTTTCTCTTGAGTGAGTTCTCTCAATCGTAAAAGATAAATTGCGCCGCATTGTTGTAGCTTCAAAGAGTCTACCAAGGAAAAACCGCGAACCAATTAAACCGAAGTTCCAAACGAATATTCAATGTGGCATTGATCCCAGACTCAGAGTTGATAGATAGTGGATTTGCCACGAATTGACACCATGGCTGTCTTTCTCACGAAATGACAGATGTCAAGTCAGGAACTCACATGGTGGCATATTACGCCCCGACTCACGTTCATTCATTGGCAAGTCAAACCTGTCAATGTAAGAGGTTGCGAGGGATCTTAGTCATTCTTTTTGAAACGCGGAGTTGCGAGGGGTATCAAAGACCAGGGCTTCTTCTAGCGAGGAATCTTCGACCTATCCCTGTTGAAAACTTCGAGGTCATCCTTGAAGTATATTGAATCTAGGCCGATTGTGAAGGACTTGTCATTGTGATACCTGGGGATGCGAGCATTTCACGGATCTTTCTTTTGCTCGGGAAACATCTTGAATGGGATCCGGACTCCAGTTGTGAGAGAGATATCAGGGGAAGCACCGATGAGGTGACGAGATACAATATCCACATTGATATAGTCAGATAGCCAAGCTCATGTAAAATGTTGACATCTGTCAAAACAATACATTATTATACAAATCTTATTTTCTTTCATTTCTAAAGCGATTGCCAGGTGCATCTAATATACAGTCAACATGGGAAATAGTCAATCACAACAAGATACAACAGCGCCGTCGCTGGCGATGATGGCTCAATCTACTGCAAGACTTTCTTCCTCGCGGCAAGTGACCATGAGTGCTATAGCGTCGCCTATACCAGCTGTGTCACCCACATCACCTAATGGAGCATTCACACAGTCGACATCTTTAAGATCAATTTCTACAGAGCAAATAATGTCAGCAATTACACAAGCTGCTGCTCCAGCTGCCGCTCAACCGCAAGGAACAGTAACAATAGAGATCACCACAACACAGGCTGCTGCCCCAGCTGCAGTTGAGCCTCAAGCAACAACAACGATAGAGATAACGACAACAGAAACTGTCACCACACAATCACAAATGACTCCATCGACCATTCCAAGCGAGCCCTCCACTTCCAGCACCAGCACAGATAAAGGAACAACCGGAACAGCCAAACAAGCAGGATTAAACTCACCCTCTGAAGACAAACCACCTGCCGCATCTCCGGCGCTGCAAGGCGCACAAGTAGATCCTATGACACCTTCAATAACCCAACCAACGGTCGGACCTTTCTCACCCGTTGCAGCAATTCTTGGAGGGATCCCTAACAAAAACGTCGATGTACCGATTACAGTTGTGTTTCTGATTTTGTTTATTGTGGGAGCTGCATCACATTTCATCAGACATGAAATTAACTCGAAGAGAGGACATAAGTTTGTTATCTCGGACATGATTTTTGATTTCTGTATGGTTAGGAATGTAAGTTAAAAAATCTGAATGTCGCTCAATTGGCATCAAGGGAATTGAGTGCTGACTTATAAGTAGGTGACTTGTATCATGAGAATTGTGTGGGCATTTCGTCCGGAGAATAACAGTATTGTTGTTGCAGCTTTGATTTTCGAAAATGCCGGGTAAGTAACCTTACCATCTCCAACCCAGTTGTGGAATCTCAGTACTGACGAACAACCAGAGTTGTCGTTCTCTTCGCCGTAAACGTAATTTTCACCCAACGAATCCTCCGCGCCACCCATCCAAATATCGGCTGGAATCCCATTGTCTCGAAGGCTTTCCTCGCGATTTTGATATCCGTCCCCTTTATCATATTCTGGAACATCATCTCTCTTACTATCAGTTTTTTCACGCTCAATCCTCGCTCGCTTGAAACAACAAAGAACCTCCTCTTATTTGGTTCATGTTGGACACTTTTTCTTTCACTGTTCCCAGCTATCTTCGTCACTCTTGCTACCGCAATTCCATCTTCTACTCCGGTCGAGAAATTCGGCGCTGGCAGATTTAGAATGAAGCCGATAATCCTTATGCTCGCTACAGCACTTCTAGTCACCGGGGCAATCACGCGGCTTCTAGGAGCTGTGATTGAGAAACCAATCAGTGCACCCAGTCATTTATTCAGCAAACCTGTTTTCTATACTACAGGATTTATGCTTGAGATCATAGTTGTGTACGGATATTTATTTTTACGTGTGGATTTGAGATTCTGGGTTCCAAATGGAACAGGTAGTCCCGCTGCTCAAGGAAGCGCAGGATCGTATACCGTGAAATCTGAGGATGACGAAGAGAAACTGGTTGATGGATCGGGAGATGAGGGAAAATTACGCGCACCCTCAAGTCTTTATGAGAAATTGTATGGGAATGTTGTGATTGGATTGGATACCAATATTCCTGTATCTTCAGCTGAGAAGGTATCTGCAGCAATTGCGGATTTGAGTATGAGTACTAGGGGGGAGATATTCGGAACGCAGGTTGAGAGTCCAAGTGAGGATGTTGTGTTGTATGCTTTTAGGGTTGGGGGATCTGAGGATGGAATGCCTAGGAGACCACCGCGTGCTACTTCGTGGGCGGAAAAATCAGGAGATGTAGGGGCTAATGTTGAAGAGTTTATGTGAGAATGCAATGGGTAGAACTTGTATTGTTTGCACATAGTAGGTGCGGTTTATATCTTCTAAAAGTAGCGGCGGGACCGATTTCAATTGTAATTTTAGTTTTATTATTTAGGCTTATGGTTATAATTCACAACTTTGCCTCTGAGAGATTGTAACTTGATGTTCTGAATGCAGCTATGAGACATACTTCGCTTGAAAACAATTTTATGGATAAAGAGGTTGGAATTCATACGAATCTCCTCGAATCACATATGTTCGACGAGATGGCCTTCAAAGGTTCACAAGCAGATGCCCTTCGAGGCCTCGGAAACGGCTGCTCGAAAGCACAAAATATCCCTCCCCAATGCTAGTCTTAGATTCCCAAGTGACGCCCTGTTCCTCCTAGCTACTCTGGTACAATTGTCCACTTCTAGAACTATAACATCCAAGTCTTCCAAGTTCTGACCCTCCCTCGCAACACTTGAAACAAAAAAGCGATCAACCAATCCCATCACTGATGCCACTCAGCTATCTTGACCTCAATGGTTACCCTCAGACGTCATTAGACACCGATCAAGCAACCCCATTACAGTCGCCACCTATTCGGACATCGACGATAACTCTCAGACGTAATCCGAGATCTGTTAGGTGAGACATGAACTTGAAGGATGTATCGAGATGGAGACTGAGATAGAACTTGACTGAGTCTGCTTCAAGTTTGATATTCACGCCACTTCAAGGAAATCTTTGAGTGGGTTTATCGAGCACAGGTACTACATTACTTTACCACCAAGCCGTTCTAGCTATATGAGAGGGGATTGGTAGACTTGACTATTATTGATATATGAAACTGTACCAGACCTTGAATTTCTAGTTTCATGGCTATGCATTCTGGCAACTTACCTTCCTTCTCCAGCACAACGAGTCTCATTTTCAGATCTACTGCAGCATCCAGCCAGTAATTAGAATGACGCATGAAAGAAATGCAACAAAGTTTCCCCAATCCTGGCTCTGCAACCAGCTTGATCGTACTATTCTACGCAATGACACATTGCAAAAGATAATTCGCAAGATATCAAACCAAACTGAACTGGACAAGGCGTGCTAGGACCGCCATTCTTGATTCCCTGTCCCATATAACTACACTTAATTATTGATACTATCAACAAATTCCGTAAACTCCTTTGCCACAGATTCCGGCGCCTCAATAGCATGCCAATGGCCGACCCCTGGAAGAACCCTAACACATTTCTTCTGTGCACTCACACCCGCTTCATCATGAATCATCTTACACCCTTCATAAGACGCTGTCTTATCTTCACTTCCAGCCAGAACCATCATCGGTACGTCAATTTTAGCATAATTCGGTCTACTAGCCGAGGCAATAACTTCACATGATGATATGTAGCCCTGAGTACTAGTCCCGAGGATTAAACTTTTGATAAAAGCTTTCTGGGTAGACGAAGCTTGAGCACCCGTTGCAGCCTCTGGTATCAAATTGGCGAGCGGTTCAAGTCCATCTAGCATAATTAGTAACCTGGTTGAACCCCCAATTCCCAAACAAGAAAACTCTCATACCTTTACTAACCGTTTCAATCCTCTTCCCAAACACCTCCGTTAAAACTGGACTTGGAACCACAGGTCCTATCAAAACCAACCCCTCAACTCTTTGTGCGTATCTAATAGCAAGCTCACACGCAATAATCCCACCCATCGAGTGGCCCACCACCCAGACTTTTCCCTTAACTGCTGTTTCGGAAAGTGCATCGAGAAGTGCAATTGCATCATCGACAATCGACGCTACAGTTTGTGGCGAATTCGAATCGCCTAGAGAAGATAACCCGGATCCGGGTGTATCCAGAGCAATGCATGTTGAGACGCCAGAGAGGGAGGGAATAACAGTATGGTAGAAAGTAGACGAGGAACCGAGCCCGTGGATGAACAACGTGGTTACCGGCTTCTGGAGATTTTCAGTTTGCGGGGTGAGGGTGTAGAAGATTGATTTTTGGTTTAGGGTGATGAAGGGCATGATGGAGGTGCAGAATTGGATTTGGTTCAAATAATTCTTAAGATGTTTCTTTTTATTTGAATGAAGTTCTTTATTTCGTGCTGAACCGGAGTTCTTTCTATACCCATCTATAGCTTCAAGCGGATAGAGATGCGGCCCACATGTCGGGGAGATAGCCACACGTGATTTGAGAAGATATCTTGTTAGAAATCAACCTCGATGTACTCATAGTCTCGATCTGCTCTACTGTGCCGAAATGACAAGTAATTAAGAATCGTTTTCTCATTACATTTGACGTTCGAAATTTATAAACACGTGATAATGATAAGGTTACTTCATTTGCTATAAACGACCCTCTGCCTAGTATGCAATGACAGTTGTCTGATAAGAATACAAATCCACGCACTCTCACCTCTCGCGAGTCATTGAAGAAAACTAGACAGGTTGTCACTCTCATTCTTACTTCCATTCCCAATATACAAACTTGTTGGTTCACGACAAACGCACCGGACGTCCGTTGGGGTAGAACACTCTGCCTTGCACGGCACAGGATTCCACGTCTCCGTTTCCCATCCTAGCATTTTGAAGGAACGAAAGGGGAAATATACGATCGTTGCCTACAACTTTGTCGTATTTTGTAAGAAGACAACAAGGTGTACTAAGAATGTACCTGTGCCTGTCGGATAGCCGACCGGGTCGGATAATCTACCGCTCGTGTCATTATCCGCTTTGTATCAATTTCGTGCGGGAACTATCAGCCGATTTTGATTGGTGCAAGAAATTGATATGTATTGATATGTCAATGGGTCATTCTGATTTCATTCCAAGTGAAGAAAATTATATTGTAAAATTGTAATAAATAACAGAGAAAGAAATTTTAGTGTACAATTGTTGATACAAAGGGAATCCAAAATTATGTACCCATCGCAGGAGTCCCGCACATAGATGAATAATTTCCTCCAACGATACTAGCCATTTTGGTCCTTTTCAGGTCCTCAATCTTGACCTTATCTCTATATATGAAAGTTGAGGGATAGCGAGTTGGCAACTACCGAAAATTGTTAACAAAATAGTCAGAAAGGAAAGAGCCTGGCATACCTTGAGTAACATCTCTGCTTGACGAATTCCTAAATGTTCTGCAATATATTTCAGCCGTCCCCTTAGCCATAATCGTTGAGAACTAGTCGCAAAATCAGATGCAGCCGCTGCAAACACTGGCCATATAGCCCATACGCCCGTTACACCCTTCCCACTTATTTTGCTATTGTTTCCACAGGGAAAATATGAGCTCTCGGTTATGGGAAATTCGGTATCTGGGGCATTCCAGCCGAAGAAAAATGGAATGCTAGACACGATATCCTCAATTAATAGACTTGCTTGTCGCGAAACTTTGACACATTCCGGCGTGAGTTTGTAATCGAGGTCGGCAGTGATCCATGCAGTGCATCGTAAAATAGTGGTTAGGATGAATAATCTCGAGGTGCGTACAATATTGTGTGTAGTAGCCATCCACAGCTCGTCGTATACATCAATTCTTCCTGGATAACAAGCTGTGAATTCTAAGTCTTTTTCCACTGTATCATCAAGCCAAGCCGCAACTTTGGGTGTCCATTCTTCAGGAAGATTGGCGTACCAGTCGACGTATTCCTTTTCGATCCGTTCTGCTTTTTTCATGTGGTTGAGGACCTTCTCGATGTTTTCTGTGGTATGTCCTACAAGAGTGCAGATTCTGTGGGTTTCTGCCCGTAAGTCTGCAACCTTGAGATTGAGCACTGATACAGCATGTTGTACTCTATCCTCTGATGCAAAAGATGTCCACCAATCGATACCTTCGTTAACTTCCTTCGAACGGCTGATACACTCGACAGTCTACAAATAATTAGCTTCATTTGATTCTTTTGTATCAGAAATTTACCATATGCGTTCTGACTGCATCAAATAAAGAGCGTCCAATCTTTGTGTCAAGCTGACTTTTGCCTCGAGCTTTCACTAGTGCCACAGCTCCATTGATATGAGACTCCCATCCACTTAGGGACATGGAATGAGAGCTTATTTGCTGGTCTGAGAGTAAGCATTACGCATGAAAGAATACCAAGATCTAAAGTCATTTTACCTCATAGAAGGACAACAGGAACACCGCTGCCAAGGTTGCATCTTCCTTTGCTTTGTGTACATCTTGTAGATCGTTGTTGATTTGATTTAAAGCCGTCACATATTGCTTATCAGCTAGAGGTAGAAGCTTTCTAGCATTTGGCTGATTCGCAAAAGCCACAAGTGCTACAGCATTCAAAGCAAGCACAAGTGACGTTTCTCTTGAGCTGGCATATACGAGTGGTATGAGGAAATCCAGATTTCCTTTGGCCGTGTGTCCTCGTGGAAGAAGAACGAAATTAGATAAGAAAAAGCAGGCGGCTTGTTGATCGATTGGTGGCGAGAATTGACGAGGGATTACAGTTTTGGGTGACCAGGGCAGCTCACTCTCGATGTCTGAGACTGGTGATATTGGCATGCTTGGCTCCATTGAATCATAATTAGCGTGTGAAGATATATAGAATGAATTCCTGGTTGTATCGTTAATGGAATCAATAGTTCTGTAAATGATTCTGTTGTCCGAGGTATTCATTATCCTTTTCGTCGGTCGGTCATTTCTACTTTGGCCAAATTGGTAGCTATATGAGTCTACTGTGAAAGTTGGAGTATTAGCATCGAAAGAAGCTGAAGATTTTCGCTTGGTGGCTTTCGTTTGATCTCTAAGTTTGAGCTCGAACTCATCGCGATAGCCTGTTATTGTGATTAATAATGACAGATAGATTATGTGTAATGGAACAACACTATACCAGGACATTCTCGTTTTGACTTTTGACATCTCATGCACGAAGGCTTAGCCTCATCGCACTGAAATAATGATTAGAAACCAATGCTCCATACTATGATACTAAAGTGTCGAAAAGAGAAAACGTACCTTGATCCGCCTCGCTCTACATAAGTAGCATCCTTTCGATGGTTTTCCCGTGTTGACCATGACGAGATTGTCCAAAAAATTTGAACCTGGACTTGAAGAGCTATCAAAATTTCACCAGTCGCAATGATTCCCCTTTGCGGTGCAGATATGATGCGAGGTAATGACAGTTAGTTAATAAATAAGTTTGATGATTGTATTGCGAGCTGTTATGCTGCGACCGCCAAGAGTCTAACCCATTTTGATAGAATTACATCAATTGTTTCGCCCTATCCGTCAATGGAAGAAGTATGGCAGTTCTTCAAAGGATGGTTTTATAATCTGCCGCATAATCATCCAAGGTTATGGGTAGAAGATGACAGACGAGTATCAGTAAGGTGGTCACCATAAGCCAATCACACAAGATCTCAACCTCACATGAGACAGAAACGTAGTCCTCACAGACATCATCCAATGATAAAGTTAACCCTTATCTGTCTGAAGACTTGTTTCGAATCGTGAGATGTTTCAAATTTTGGCAATTTTTGCTCTCAACGCAGATGAAGACCAACGCCCGGACTTTTGTAGAACATTGGAACATCAATAGAACTTCTAGAATGGTGAAGGAGTTGACAATAATTGACTTTGAAGTAAAAATGATTCTTCTTCAACGCTTCAAACACCAGGGATATCTGGGCTCGTTGATGACGATGGCTTTGAAATCGTTGGAACTAAATATCACATGGACCCACAACTCCATTTGAAAGTCCCTGAAATGTGACAACTATGCCTTTAGAGGAACGCTCTTGAAGTGATCGGAATATTAAACGTCAATCCATCTCGCACGGGTTGTGAGTTAGGATGGAATAAGAACAGAACACACGTCGTCAATGCAGCCAGCCTTCTTGCTGCGTAGTCCTACTCGAGTAGTCCTAGATATATCTGAGCGCTTTAAAAACACGTGAAAATTGTTGAGCATTTCCTACAAGTTCTTCCCTGTTTCATATCTTTTGCTTAAAAGAATTGACGAAAACCATATTGAGGGAACGCCAAGATATCTGGAAGTAAGAACACGAAATTTGAATCATAATTTGATGTGTATTGGTGATTCATGATCATGTAGCAAGATACGCAAGTATTACGACATTGGGCATGATGAAGTTAAATTCATTGACATCCTTGGAGTTTTCAAACTCAAACTTTCATTGATCCTCTAAAAAGTAACATGATTCGAGCTACAATCATAGGTCGATTTAGTGCAGTCACGTGAATCTTGGCAGACTTTCCCCACTCTGAATCATGTTCCTCCTCGATGATTTGTTTACATTTTCTTGATATTCAAATCCAGTTTGCTGTTGACAATACTTAGGCAGAGCGTTGGTTGATGCCAATCGAGTTTCAACTATTCCCCAACGAGATTATTACATACCGCGATGGATGTTCCCTCCACTTCAGAGGTTTCAAGCACTCTATCTTCTTCAATTGTAGGTCAGGTAAATGTGACCAATGCTCGTCGAGCCCCGAAATCTCGACAGGGCTGTCAAAGATGCAAGACCAAACGTGTAAGATTCGCTTGTCAGGAACGTAATAACTTGAGTAATGACATGGAGGTAGTTGAAATGTGATGAGAAGAAGCCGCATTGCCTTCAATGCGTCAAAAGAAAAGCAGAGTGTTGCTATGCTTCACAGCGACTAGTTTGGTCGACAAAGCACGAGAAGATTCTTGTCGAAAATAATGATAGGCCGCTACCATCATCAGCGAAAGCTCTAAAGAGGCAGTTGGAGCTCGGTTCGAAATCTGCCGTTGACCAAATGCCCGGTGGAGGGGTGCCGGAATCCAACACAAAAGAAGATGATTCCGAAATTGTTGAACATGCCGAATCCTGTGAGAGAAGCCAAAATGGATCTGTACAAAGCCCTGAGACTAATGTTCGGAGATTGTCCACTCCAAATTTCACTGACAGTCTTTCCGCCATTCGGTATCAACTGAGCAACTCGACTGTACCTGAATTTCTCGTTCATCTTCCAACCATGCTTGTGGAATACTATTTTGGGTATATTTGTGTAATATTCTCCTCATTTGATGGCATTTTTAATCCGTTTCGGTCTACTGTCGGCCAACTCTGGGACGACTCAGCACCAATATACTACGCTATTCAGAGCATGGCTGCTGCTTATCTTTCACATGACTTCCCACGCATGTCCGTTGTCGGAGCTCAAATGCAACGAGAGACATTCAAGTGCTTATATCAATCGAATCGTGCTGGGGTTGAATCTCATGATAATATTGACAAGACTCTCTTGACCGTGCTTTTGGTTGGTCAAACTACAGCATGGCACAATCCTCGAGATTTAGGTCTAGCACATCTGAAGACAGCCAAGAGATTGTACAAGCAACGTCTATCACGACAAGGTGCAAATCCAGATAGCAAAGTGCGCCGACAAAATGAGTTTTTCCAGCAGTGTATTTTGTACTGGGATTTATTGGCTGGGTTTGTTGAAGATGAGGAAAATATCGCCATGCTAGAGGAGAACAGTACGCTAGTAGAAATCGCAACCGCTCCAAATACAGACCACCAGATATTTCCTCATCCCTGGACTGGAGTAGCGCCAAAGATTCAGCGATTATTCGCTCAGGTCGGAAGGCTGATTCGGTCTTATCGAAAGTCAACATTTAATCCAATTTCAAATATTCCTCTCAGTGATCCCTTCTTTGATTTCAATTCTATACCTCTTGAATCAACTGTCTTTGCTAGCATCGAGTGGGCTAACAGAGCACGGCATCTGGAAGAAAAACTACTGGCAGTAAATCTACCAACCGAAACAGAACTTGTCGATGCCGGTGACGAGAATACGCCCGTTAGGCAGTACATCTTGCTAGCAGAAGCATATCGATGTGCTGCTCTCCTGGAGATATATCGTGTATTTCCTTCAATCTATTTAAATCGACAGCCTGACTCTCAAGAGATATTATCCTTGCCAGTTTCGCATTCTGTCGAAGAATTTTTGATATCGCTTGCGCTACATGTAACATATCTTCTCGAGAAAATACCGTCAACATCTGGTACTCGATGTCTTCAGCCTATTGTTATGATTGTTGCGGCAAGTGAACTTAAATTCTCTACAGCATCAATGAACGCTTTTTCTATCGATACACCTTTCGGAGCAAACCAATTTGAGGGACCTGGTTACAGACATAGCTCCACCTTGAGTAGTGCAGCAATTTCCAGTAGCATCACTAATTTTGAAGTGGATATTGCGGCAGCTCGCCGGTTCATCATTACTCGCTTCCAAGAGTTCAAACTATCTTTACCTGCGAAGCCTATGACGAAAGCGTTAATACTTATAGAAGAGACATGGGCAAGGGCCGATATTGGACAAGAAGTATTCTGGAGTATGTTGCCTCACTTTGTCACAAATATCGTGAGAACCTCACCCTTAAAGTGTGTACTAACTCATGTTATGTGTAGTGGATGTGATGTCAGAAATGAACTTGGAATGCATATATGGCTAAATGCATATATGGCTAAATTAATTCATTCAAGTACTCTCACGCACTGAAATACGAGAACTGCATCAATCATCACAGGACCAAAATAATATTTAGCAATGTTATTATATTTTTCGTATGTTCTATATGTCCCCAGAATTTTATCGTCTATAAACCGGACGAGATACTCCTGCAAAGAACCGACAATTCATGATACATAACTCCGTCGACTTCAGATCCACGCGAATTTTTATTACTTTACTTTCCACCACCATTAAGTTGAAGAATTTGTCCTACATGATGTTAGTAACACGAATAATTCATTTTTTGATGAACCTTACCGTTGACCCATTCAGATTCAGGGCCTGCCAAGAATGATACAACTCTTCCAATATCTTGTGGGACACCGACACGTCCAAGTGAGCATACGGAAGCAAGTCCCTTATCAATGATATCTACATCCATGCCTTCAAATCCACCTGGAACGTAATGCCATGCATTTCTATTTCTATGTTAGCGTTGTTCCTTGACGCTAGGCTTTGGAAAAACTCACTGCTCGTACATATCGGTTTTGATTCCACCAGGAGCAATACCGTTGCATGTGATCTTCTTTTTACCACAGTCCTTGGCAAAAGATCTGACGAAACCTTCGACGGCTGCCTTACTTCCAGCGTACAAAGCATGGTTTGGTACACCAGACATATTGGCAGCGATAGAGGACATCAAAACAATTCTTCCGTATTCCTCGAGGTGGATAAGAGCTTGTTGAGCGACAAAGAATTGAGCTCTGGTGTTAAGGCCGAAAACTCTGTCGTAATCCTCTTCGGTAACATCTTCCTCTTCCTTGAAGATTTCGGTGCCCGAATTGCTCATAACAATATTGAGCTTACCGAAATGTGCCTTAGCCTCCTCGAACAAACGTCTGACTTCTGGGACCTTGGAGACATCGGCTTTGATAGCAAATCCCTTGCTACCGAGTGCCTCAATTTCCTTGACAACCTTTTCAGCTGGTCCGGCAGAGTTGGCATAATTGATAACAACACTTGCTCCACGTGCAGCAAGCTCAAGAGCGATACCTCGACCAATTCCACGACCGGAACCTGTTACGAGGGCGACCTTTCCCTCAAGAGTCTTGAATGGTGCTGGTGATACAGACATTATGTTTTTAGATGTTTAACGTAACGTAAGAATGGGTATATGATATGAAAGTACGAAAGGTGCAAGAAAGATTATACAGCAATATAAAGCGTGGAACGATAAATGAAGTTGCATGTTAAAATGGGCAATGAACATCTTATATCACTGGACAAACCCGGCCACGACAGCTCCTCGGACCTCTCGGTCTTCGGGCGTACATAAGAACGCGGCGAGGCTTTAGAGGCTTCCATTCTATCCATAGGCAGTGCTCGTGCAGTTTGAAATTCTTGTGTATACTGACACCCATGCAATTCCGATGCGATGAATTGCTGATGAGAATAAGAAAAGTACGAATTACAGATCATCACTATTACCCGATAAGGTATCAACCAAAGGCAGGGCCCAATAACTCGCGAACTCCAAACAATCATAACTCTACAATTCACAAATTCTCCAATTTATATCTATGATAATTGTTGATAATATGTTTCAACAATTCTCCTCACGGCAATGCACGGATTTTGGTAGTAGGATCAAGCGTAGTCCGCTCACTCACTAGGGTAGCCAGGTAAGCGAAGGCTTTGCAAGCTGAAGGTCTGATCATCTACCAATCATATGACGCATGGAGACTGGATCCTTTCTTGCTCGAGAAGTTCTATTCTACTTTTAGGTTTTTAATCATCTAATCTAAATCCCATTGAGTTTGGTGAACGAGAAATATTTCCCAATTAATACGAGAAATTGTCAAAGTTGTTGGGCGATACTATTACATGCATTGAGTGAGGGCCGCTTTGGCTAGGCTATTGACTACTATCTTTAGGGTTGAAACATCCCCACATTGAGGTCACTCCCCACCTGAACCCTTGTCTTTGGATCGACATTGATAACTTCATGATTCAGTTTGACAGATCTAACAGCAGAAAAGTAGCCATTCACCATGAAACAAGATCAAGAGCGATTGCGAGATGCAGCCAGAACACAACATGCAGTAACACGATCCCAGTAAAGTCCGGACTAATCTCATCGTCATCAGCTTCATCATCACCATCCCAGCCTTGGCTTACGGAGCTCCAGCCATTGTTGCGATGCGATGAGAAACAACAAATTCCTCTACAGTTCGCTTTAGTTGTCTCAGATCCGTCCAAAAACTGGAGGAAGTCCGAACAGTATTCGGTATTGACAGCATTCTAGCACACTATCACTAGGATATTGTCTATTGTATCCATTAGAAAAAAGGTACCGGGGGTCATGGCGTGCATATTCGTCCCGGAGGTTGTACAAGCAGCCGGACTCGGGCTCAGGAATTTCACCAAAGAGCGAGGCCGCGAAGAATCGAAGCGGCGCGAAGCTCAAGCTCAAGGTAGCTCAAGCTTGGATCGTTAGCTCTAGCAGTGTACATATATGATGTGGAAGTCGTCATTGTCCTTTCGATTTTTCTTTTGACATTCTATTCACACTCGTCTTCACATTTACATCGATTTCTATCTCTACAAACAACACATCCTCAATCAATATGGCTCAAGACAGAATTTCATTCGAGGGTAAGCATTTTATACTTTGTCTTCGGACAATAAGTTGATGATAAGGAATAATGCTAATAAGATATAGATTACCTCGACCTCACAGCATTAGTCTTCGACTGGGGTGACAGCTACGATGCAAAGGTAACCCAACCCCAAACTTCCCTCCCACCTAATTCTCCCACATCTCCTAATACTCCCACAGGACTGGAAAAGACTCGAATCCATCATCGCACCCGAGCTCCTTGTAGACTACACCACCATTGGCAAAGCCCGCTGGGATGCCATGCCCGCTTCCCAATTCATGGCCATGGTAACCGATGACGATTTCCTCGGCGATCCTTGCGTCAAGACTCAACATCTTCTCGGTGCCACCCGCTGGGAAAAAATTTCAGACGATTACGTTATTGGTCATCATCAATTGAGAGCTGGTCATCAAGTGTATAAAAATGCGGATTTGAAGGATATCAAGTTGAAGGGTCATAGTCATGCTACCAATGAACATTACTACAGGAAGGTTAATGGGGTTTGGAAATTCGCGGGATTGAAACCACTTGTGAGATGGAACGAGGGTGATGGAGAGAATGATTTCTTGAGGGTTTTCAAGGGAAGTTACAAAAAGTAAATTGGAAAGGTGATATCTAGTTAGGTTGGGTGTCTGGGTTATGAAAGGTCGCTTTGGAGTCTTCTAGGGATGATAGCTTTTTGGTGTTGATGAGGTCCATTTATCTATTCTTCTATCTGATTGTTCAATCTTTGAGTGAGAAGTTGTTTTTTTTTTTCAGATGACGAAGTTGTTATTCTGTACTGAGATTATCCATCGTTGGCCTGAGTTCTCAACCGGTTTTTGATTGCATATCGATGTTGAGGAGCTGTCAAGCAAAGATGTAAACCATTTTGCTCTATAATGATTTTTCTGCTGTTAATAATGGTTCTGTATAAGCTGTTCTAAGCTTTACTTCTTCCAAATATCTTATTGTACATCTTATCGTGTCAAATGCTCAAATCACAATATCATACCTTTCATTGATTCATCGATTCATCCATCGCATGTCCCACAACCATATAAAAAAACCTTCCCACCCCCAAATTGCATTACATTAATGGAATCAACACACTCAAAAAATATAGACTTGAAACCCCGCTCCTAAGCTTCTCATACCAGAAAGTCGAATTTATTACTCGTGATATCCTATCTGCTGCTTGATCATTCCATGTTATCTCATCAATATAAGATTCATCATTTTAATTATCGATGAAAAATTTATCTCATCATCTCATCATCCAACATCTATTGTTACACTATGCTATAACTATACCATATATATCATATCAATCTCATTCTCATCCCATCACACGTCCCATCCCATAAATCTCCACAACAACCTCAACCAAAGTTCCAAATCCTTTCCGAGAATCTCTCGAGCTCACAACTTCATGTCTTGAGAAGAAATGAAGAATGAGGTAACAAATAAGATTATGTATTGAGGTTTTCGATTGTGTTGTAAGAAGATATATTGTGGGGTGAAGTTTTATATTTATGTTATAATATCAAGGATTGAAGGTTCAGGGCTGAGGACTGAATGTTTTTGTGTTGCCGAGAGTAGTGTATTGGATATGGGGATATTTTATTATGGGAAGCTGTTATGGTCTTGTAATGTATTGAGATGAGAGCATTGGAGGCTTGAAATATTTGATGGGTTTGTACGGCACGCATCTATCTATCTACCTGTCTACCTATCTATGAACAGAAAAACATTTCTCCCGGATCAAATCCACTTACTCGAGAATCTATCCGCTGTGGAGGATGAGAGGAGAGAAGAGGGAAGGAATTTATTGTATATCATATGGGAGTATCAATGTTTTTTCAAGGGAATTGTTATTCTACATCTCAGTTTCCTATGTGATTTTCGATATAATACATATCATCTCCAGCTTCTTTATAGGTACCTAACAGGATAACAAAGGGAATATAACGCAGGAAGCGAGAAAAAAAAAACCCAGAGGGGGGTATAAGAAGCCCCTGCCCTCTGCTTATTCGAACCCTTTTCTTTTCTTTACGTGTAGAGAAGTTGCAGACAATCAAGCCTGAGGGACCAAGAAGTGATGTTGAGCTCAGTTATCTCTCCGAGAAGAAATACGGTAATTGAATGGAGGTTTTGGAAGATTATGTAGGTGTATAGGTACCTAGTAGTGTAAATGCTTTTGCGGTGGTAAGATTTGAAGACGGTGGTTCTTTTACAGAGCATACTTTTGATGGGTATTTATCATTGATATTATTTATATCGTTTATGCTGTTATCATCTCCTTTCCATCATCTATCATTTATCATCCCCAACCTACCTTATACCCATCGCAAGCTTGAATCTTCGTCTCATCTCAAGACTCTCGGGAGAATCAAGATATCACCTTGAAGAGAATTCCAACTGAGCAGCAAATTGTTGTACCTTTTTGTTCTGAGTTTAAGTCTTTAATACTGTCCTTGTGAGATTCTAGTGGGGGATTCTGCTAGGTGATTGCCCGGGGAGATTGTAGATGAATGAGTGAATTTAAGATACTCTGGCTTTTGATCCCCCTTTTACCTCCACTATCTCATATCTAGCACCTAGATATTTCCCTGATTTACATAGTGCTTTTTCATGCATACACTCAAGAGTTACAGCATCAAGAAGTGGATAAAAAAAAGAAGAAAAGAGAAGGAATTCACTCATTAGCCAGAGAAAGGACACAGAAAAACAATCAAGGGAGTGTAAATCATACCCCCTTCTCAAGACAAGAATCCATACCCGCAACAATCGAACATGGCAAGATCATCATGTGATTCCTTCAGTCGGAGGTGCCGCTGATTAGCAGATATGTCAATTATCAGTCAATTTGAATTCGACGAGTTGTCAAACCTCGTAGCTTGAGTGTGTATCTCACCATTTATGATGATCGAGTTTTAACGGCAACAGAAACAACTCATAACAAAAATACCCAAGACTCTTACCCACTAACACTAAAATTCACACTACATCACCACACCACCTCTTTCGCTCATAAAGGCTAACACCATCTCATTCCCCGCCCCAAACCTTCTCCACAAGTTCGTAAATTCGCAGAAACGCGTAAATTAAAGTACTGCCTCTCGAGTTTCTTTAGTATTATTGACTAACATCGAGCTAGACCTTAATGATAATATTAACATCATCATCAACATCCCCCCCCCCCCCCCCCCTTATAACCCGATTAAAACAGCGATATCCAGACCCAAGCTCATTCCATCTGGTCCTAGGTGGAAATAGTCATACACAGGTTGATTTCAGCCAGACCCAGCCGGAAATCGCCACGCACAGGTGGAATTCAGCGAGATCTGGGCGGAAACAGCGAAACGCACGCCAATTTCAAGGAGATGTACCCCCTCTCCCCTTTCTCGCCACTTTCGAAGAGACCCAGGCATTTCAGCGAAGTCCAGACAAAAATAGCCACGCAAAGGTTGAATTCAGCGGGATCTGCTTCATTTCAAAGGTGATATATCCCCTCTACCCCATTTGCTGCCACTTTCTGCGAGACCCAGGCGGAAACCAGCGAGACCCACGCCCGTTCCAACAATATCTCCTCCATTTTCAAGAAATCTCCCCCTTCCCATCACTTTCAAAACCACTTCTGGCGAGACCCAGGCACATTTCCATAGGACGCTGGCTGATTTCGACGAGATCATTAATTTTTTATCGATATCCAGCCAGAAAACAGCCTCACACAGATTGAATTCGAAGTGATCTTCTTCATTTAGAAAAAGATTTACCCCCTCTCTTCCCTTTCTCGCCACCTTCAGCGATACCCATGCTCATTCCACCAGGTCCTAGTCTCAGGCAAAAACAGCCACACACAGCTTGAATTCAGGCTGATTTTAACAATTCCCAGGCGGAAAACAACCACACACAGCTTGAAATCAACGAGACCTCCGCTGTTCCTAAGAGACCCCTCCTCCCAAAACGCACGCCCACTCCACCAAACCCCGACCAGAAAACCTCCACACACAGCTTAAATCCAACACGATCTCTCTCCTCCATAGATTTCCAAGGAGATCCACCCCCTTTCCCCCTCTTTCCCCTCTCTCCCCCTCTCCCCCTCTCCCCTTCCTCGCCACTTTCGAAGAGACCCAAGCTGATTTCTCCCCACTTCCGCAGAAGACCCAGGCCAATTTCAGCAATTCTCAAAGCAAATCCCTCACCCTTCAAATCTACAGATAGATATGCAACAAAACTCCCCACCAAATTCTCTCCTCCCTCACCTGTCTCTACCATTGGTTCACTTCCAATTTTTTATCTTTCTGTTGCATATCTATCTAAAAACGCAGCGAGCTCGCTGTTTTTACCCGACGCTCTCGGAACAGTTGATTTCCACTCCACCATGAATTTTCTGCCTTCTTCCCTTTGAAATCTTCATTTCCGGCTTGAACTTCCGCCCTGAAATTAAATTTCTGGCAAATGTTTAGTACTCCTTCGCACGAGCGTGTATATGCATTCTGCCTACCCAAAGATAGTTTTTTTGATTTCGAAGCTTTCTTCTAATTCAATTTTACCTGATAAGTTATAAGACAGATATACATATTCATCGAATGGCAACTGTCCCATAACTCACAGCCCATGCTCCACAAACCACTACATCCCAACTCCAACTCTAAGACCCTCACCAATCAAATTAAGTTCCTTTCCAAATCCTCTCTCAATTTTGTGAACCATCGCATCTTCTTCACCATAAACCCCTCAAAAAACCTCTCAATTTCACCATCATCCTCCAACCCCCCGATCCAACTAACATAATGATCCGGTCTCACCAGTACCAAACAACCCCTCTTTTTATCCACTCCGTAGCCTTCATACGCCTTTCCATACCCTTCATGATACGAAAGATCATCCACATAGACTTTGTCATAATCATAACCATCCCTGTTACTCAAAGGATGGAAGATCTCTGGGAGATCTAGAAGTTCGATTTGTATTCGTGGTGCGCTGTGGATCATCAGGATTTCGATAGCCGAGTCAGTTCCATCAGTTCCTAATAGATATTTCCCCACGAGAGTTTTTAATCCTCCACTTAGATTTTGTATTCGTAACATTTGAATCTTGTTTAATATATCCCCGGCGAAAACAACAATTCTCCAGCGTCCATCACTTTTTAAAAGCTCTTGAAAATGCCAAGGTCTCGCATCTGATTGATTGAGGACTTTGAAACTGGGCATTCGCATTCCGATTCGGATATTAGTGGCCAAGTGGTGTTTTCCTATAATTCTCGCGTTAACGTTCTGAGCGACTCCGATCTCACAACCCTGTGCTGCAGCATCATCATCTTTGGCAACAATGATACTAGCACCGTAATTGACAGATACACCACTAGCAAATAAATTCCCCTTTTCGAAAACCTCTTTAAATTCTTCCATACTGATCCCCTCTTCATCCATAATATCTTTTGCTGGACGACCAGAAAACAATCGAGAAAATTTATGGTCAAAGGTGATCAGTTCTTGAGCAACAGCGCGGCGTTCAGATTCGTACGTTTTCAAGATGGATCGATTAGCAGTTCCATTAAGAACGGCAGCTATTTTCCACCCCAAGTTGAATGTATCCTGCATACTAACATTCATTCCTTGTCCAGCTTTAGGAGAATGAGTGTGTACTGCATCGCCAGCCAGAAACATACGATCGTATTGAGAAAATTTCGAGGCAACTCGCTGGCCAATTTGATAAGCCGTCCACCAGTCACAGTGTTCGTAATCTATTTTGTAAGGTGCCATTATTCTTTGAGCAGAATCCAAAATCATTTTGGGATTGATGGACCATCGATCTATCTCTGATCCAATTGCCGTTGTAGTGATCTGTATGTAGAGTCTGACGAGCTTATTTTCTCTTGGAATAACCATCATACTACCTGATTTCGAAGAATGAATTGCACATCTCATTCGAATATCTGGAAAGTTTGTAATGGGAATAATATCAAGTACACCCCAAATGAGATCAGTTTGTTCACCTTCGAGTTGAATTCCCAATTGTCTTCGTGTCCAAGAATGTGCACCATCACATCCTATCAGATATTTTGCTTTGACTGTCTCATTTATCACTGTTAGTTCATTTTCATGTGCGTCACTCAAAACTTCATCGGTATCATCATCGGCAGCTATGTTACTTCGGAAGAGACCATCGGAAGTTGCTGCTCCATCTAGTGTTGCTTGACTCTGCCTGGGGTTAGCTTGATCATCGGTGAGATGTTGTAAAACGACTTCAATTGGATATTCATTTGGATCTTCCGCTTTTGTTTCGTCAAATGCTAGTGTGTATGGAAATATCCCACGTTCAACTTTGATGTTACTATGTTCTTCGAGAGAATCGAGAAAGAATTGTTCTATACGACCTTAAAAGAGACATCTATATTAGTTTACTTGTTGCTGCCATGGAATAGTCTGTTGTACATACCTTGATGCAAAACAACCTGTTGAAACCGACTAATACCAGGAATAGTATCTGGAATTCTATCCGATCTTCTCAACACTCCTGCAGAGTCTGGATTCCAGAGACAAATCTCAAGCATATGATTGCTTTCCTTCCATACTCTATCTGCAAAGCCAAACGAATCAAGAATTTCCAAGGTACGGCATTGGAGTCCATCAGCTTGACTGGAACAAACTTATGTTAGTCCATGGGTTTGGTGAATCTTAGGATTCTTCGATAATCCATACCCGGTAAAGATTTTGGTGCCTCTCTTGTCAATAATTCGAGCATGGATTCCACAACGAGCCATCCATGTTGCTGCCATAAGGCCAGCGGGACCAGCTCCAATGATGAGAACATCCACTTTCGAGAAAGTTTCCCGAGTCAAATCCATTGTTTCGTATACCCACGTAGATCTTTCTTGATCGCCTCGGAATGAGAAAGTCTCACAGACAGAAAATATGGAAGTGTAGTGAAGATATATCGTAAAAAAGCTTAAACCTTTGGTCAACTGAAGTATTAGAAAGGGAAGTAAGTAATGATTCACGGAGTTTCCTCGATAGTTTAACTTGAAGCTGTTCTTTCAACTCCAGCTTGATGCGGGGTTACATATGAGGACCACAAATGGCATACGAAGGGTAGCATTCTTTGCAATCCTGGTGATGCAGATGACGATAAAGCCACGGCTTACTTGTATTTGAAAGGGAAGTCGTTACTGGCCAGAGAAGGAAGTGACATTGCCATTGCGCAGACAAGCGTGTGTATAATCTTGGTCTTTCTGTTTTCAACTACCTATTGTCCTACCCAGGGCTTAGAAGAATGATTGTATCGCGTTGAGACTTTCAGACGATCGAAACAAGTGCAGACAGAGCAATTGACATAACATTGCATGTTGTTTTGACACCGATTGGTTGTAACTCTCCTCTCCATACCGTGGGATTGCGGAATCAAAGCGTCTGTTCACTACCGGCACATGAAATCATTGCGGGGTTCATCATCGGGGAGGTAACGAGATTTCCGAGAAATCCGTCCCTGGTTAGCTCACAAATACCAAGCTTCCGATTGGTTCCAGTCACTCATCTTCGGATCCCACCAAGTTCCCTTACCTAAGCTCCCCTTCACATCCCAAGCTTCATCTACTGATTCATTCCGTCGACACCGAAAATCCATTCATACTGTGGGGTGTTGCAGGGTCCAAGACTTAACAATTGTAACATGTAGGTTTGATTGCCTCATCAATTGTAAGCCATTAGAAATATTGCGCGTTATGTGGACCGAGAAGTTGTGCTTTTCGTGGACAATTGATCCCAAGCCGCCATGATCCGTCGAAAGTGCAGTACCCTTCCGACGGATATATATTTCAATGTCGTCCAACACTTGATTCCATGAATTGATCGATATATCGTCATCATTTCTTCTTTCTCTTTCTCTCACTCTTACCTATTCATATATCCAAAATGGCCAGCGCAACAGCAAATACCAATGGTACTGCCTCACATAAATTCGATCCAAACTTCACACAAAATGTCATTGAGGCAATGGGACCCAAGACTAGCCCTCGCATGAGAGAAGTTATGAGTTGTCTCATCAAACATGTTCACGACTTTGCGCGAGAAGTCGAACTTACAGTTGACGAATGGATGTTGGGAGTTGAGCTTCTCAATGAAGCGGGGAAGATGAGCGACAATAAGAGAAATGAGGGACAATTAGTTTGCGACGTCATTGGCTTAGAATCGTATGGTTCCATTCCCTCAAGAGTATCGCTCTGTATCTCTAACATACAAATTCTACAGACTCGTGGACGAGATCACATACAAAAAAGCTGCAGATGCAGTTGATGCTCCCACCGCAAGTGCGATTCTTGGACCATTCTTCCGACACGATGCTCCAGTCTTAGAAAACGAATCTTCGATTATTCAAACGGCAGTGGATGATGGAGAGATAGTATATATGCATGGAACAGTCACAGATCACAAGACCAAAAAACCTATAGTTGGAGCTACTGTAGATGCATGGCAAGCATCAACAAACGGGTTATATGAACAACAAGATGATGAACAAGCGGAACATAATTTGAGAGGAAAGTTCAAGACTGATGAGAATGGACATTATGGATTTTATTGCTTAAAGCCAACTCCATATCCCGTCCCATTTGATGGTATGTCATTTGTCATTTTTGAAGAGGTAAAGCTAATCATTCCAAGGTCCTGCTGGTAAAATCCTACAACTATTAGACAGACATCCATTCCGACCTGCACATATCCATTTGATTGTAAGTTCCCGCTCCCACCTTGAATTAACATGTCCCTCGACTAACATACAATTCCCAGGTCCAACACGAAAATTACAAACCCCTCACAACCCAAATCTTCAATTCCAAAGACGAATATCTTCAAAACGACTCCGTCTTTGCCGTGAAAGATTCCCTCATCGTCGATTTCGTCCCGTTGAAGGGTAATCCCAAAGCATCTCTCGAACTCAATTATCCCGTGCTTCTCGCTCCTCAAACCGGAGCATAGAAAATCGTCTCGTCTATTGTCGGAGTGTAGGAGTACCATGAAATTAATTTCCCCTGTCAGAATCATTTCCAAATAAATAAATAAATAAATACAATATTGGAATTCCAGAACGTCGGATATTTCTCTCTCTCTCGAATTGAAAGATTGTGGATAACATGTTTAGTAATTCATACAAACGAATACTAACGAATAAATAAATTCAAGATTCCATATACCCATACCCATGGCCATTGCCATTCCCATTCTCAAAATTGGGTTTGATTTGATGGGATTCTGATGGGATTCTGATGCGAGATATGTAGCAATGATTCAGGAACAGTATAGGAATGATATAACATTGGATTTTGGATAGAACGAAATGGGGTATGATATCAATTAATCAATCAAATGTGCATTTTTAGATCTACAAATATAAATATAAATCCCCATCTCATCCCACCCTTCTCATCCCACCTCACCCCAACGCACCTCACTTCTCCCCCGCCCCCCACCTCCCCAACACCCCCACGACGCCCTCCCCCCCAGCAACCACACACCACTCCCCCCCTCTACTCCACGCACAGCCTCTGCCCATAAAGCTCCAGCCAGAGAGCGTCTCGACCTTATGCGGCAGCAACCTCTTCAACGGATACGCTTGACGAATATCATATTTCTGATTCCACAATTTAATATCCATTCTGGTTGTGGGGATTTTTTCCACCACTATATTTGCGCCTTCGCCTGCAGCTACACTTTCTAATTTCCATGCGTGGAGAGAAGGGTGAGAGGCGATATTTGAATGTGAGGATGGACCTGAGCCGCTTGTAGCGGTGGTGGTGGAGCTTGCGGGACTTGCGTCACGTACTCTATCGGTGACGCTTTTGAAGCCTCCTCCTCTTTTACCTCTGGTGCGGAAAGGGGTTAAGAATGCGGGACGTTTCATTTTGCTTTGGAGTTGGTCTTCGGAAGTGGGTGTTTGCTGACCGGATGTTAGGCCTAAATTTAATGAAAAAGAAGGTCCTTGTGATTCAGGTTCATGTTTAGAGGTAAAGTGCGGGGGTAAAGAGCGTAAGTATTTGTTATAAGCGACGAGACGATTGAGATCCCAGAAGTAAACTTTGGATCCAAGAGCAGGGATTGCGAGTATAGAATGAGATATTTGAGGAAGGCCAGTGTTTGGATCCAAATTTTGATCGGGAACGATGGATGTAGATGGATTTGAAAGTGGAATGCCTTCAAAAAGCGAGAAGCGAATCCAAGCAGTTTCTGTTCCTGGAGTAGAAAATCTAGTTGAAATCAGTCCAGGTTTGGTGAAATTGAAAATATGATTGTAGCGATAGAAATAGAAATGGAACGATGTAAATCTAAGGGAGCATGCATTCCCTTGGATGACGCTCCGCTGGCCCTCCAGGGGCCACTGCCGTGGAGGCAGACTATTCAGAGAGAAAATATTCTTCTTGATAATACATAATCATGTCCATCTGAACACTATTTTAACGATCAATGTAGCTTCCACGCTCAAAACTTCGAGCGTAGCGAGCTGAGGGGGTTTGGGGGTTTGGGAGCTTGCCCCCGTAATATATCAAGAACAAGACCAGCAGCATAAGATTGATACTAGTACCATGGTAAAATTAGATCGGAATGGAAAGAGAGATTACTTCTGTTCATCGTGCATCGAATAAATACCACCGGATTGAAACAAAATCACAAGTCTTCTATCGGACGGGAAATACAAAAAAATGAGAAACAAAAAGAAGGGGAAAATAATACATACTCAATCAATCTAACGTAAGGATCGTTCTTCGTCGGATCCGTAAAACATGTCAAAGTTGCACTTCCATTAGCAGCCTCATGTTGAGTTGGTGCTTCATCTTGACTTGGAGGTCGGCCTTCAGAATCAAATCCTGTGATATCCCAAAGTACTATACAGTCCTCACATGCTGACCGAGAGAGAATAGAATCATCGTGAAATTGAACGCTTGGGTGGAGAATGTCAGTAAAGATTTTCAATCGTGGCCTGAGGTAAGGAAGGGGCAGAGAGGAATTGAATATGGTGATGATGGAGATATGAGGAACTACCAATCGACTGCACTAGTATGAATTTCAGATGTCGAGAAATGTGGAAATTGAATTTCTGTTGCTTTATTTGTTGCAGTATTTTCATCTGGAAAGATAGGTAATGTCCACTACATCATGTTAAAAATCGTCGTTTTCTCCCCAGAATATAAATACTAACAAGACATATCATGTAATCTTCGCCCCCGGACAATAAATATCGACCAGAACGATGAAAAGCCTTTTGTGAATTAGTGATCTGAGATGATTTTATGAATGATATAGACGTACAATCGTCAGAATGGTTGTTCTATGGCCACCTGATAATATCGCCGCACAAGGGTGTTCCTCGTTGTTTTGATCTAAACTCCAGATTCGAATTGTAGTATCTTTGGAACAAGATGCTAATATATGAGGATCAGTTGGAGAGATTAACAATTCATTGATTGCCTGTCACTGATCAGTCTTTACAGTTCTACTTTACGATGACTTGGTAATCATACTCCTCCGTGTCCTACAAGTACCTAATCATAATTAGTATCCGGTACACGAAGATATCACCAATGTCACTCACCCTAATAAGTTTGCCCGAGAGTACATCCCAAATCTTGATTTTGGCATTGAGTCCTGCTACACAAAGGAGAGGCTTCGCTAAATCTTTTGTCCAACAACATGCGTAAAGTTCTGTATCTGGCTAAAGATCTCGTATCAATGATCAACCATAATGGCTATTCAAATCAACTACTTACCTCCTCGTCGATAATTAATCGTACAATCTCGATTCCTTTTTTATCAGTAGGAGGCCTACATATTAGAATCTACGATTAGTTTAGTAATGTAG